GCTAGTCGGAAAATCGACTGAGGATCAAATACACGGTCTCACCTACTTGTTGGCCAAGGAAATGCAGAATAAATTGAAGATGCAGCGCAAGAAGTTGCAGCTCGGGGAAGGCCATGGCGCACACGGCAATACAGCACCCATAGTTTTCCCCCACGAATATCCACCGCTTGCCAAGGTGAAACAGCAGCAGTTGCAAGCGCATGGCGGCGGTGGCATACATGGACGTCTAATCGGCATGGCCAAGTCAAAAGAGTACATACCAATCGTGGAGCAAGCACCTGCAGGTGAACAAAAGGCGGCTGCTGATAGCACCGGCAGCGGCGAGTCAGAAGGCCATAGCTCGGTACATCGCATTGCTATACCTGCTGCCAAGCAATATGTCGCCATTAAGGTTGAGCCAAAAGCGCCGTTGCCACACTCGTTTGTCGAATACGGGCTCTCACCCAACTACCACGGCTTAAAAGGCGCTGGTAAAGGTGCTGAAAGTGGAGAAGGTAGCTATGGTGGTCAGAAAACGAAATTATTAGTTGAACAAGTCATACATCATCCGAAAATGAAATATCATGGAGGCGGCAGAGCTGTGCAAGCGAAAGCAATTGCTGCCGAGGCTGAACTGCATGGCGGCGAGGAATCTAGTGAGCAGAGTTTGAGCTACGGTGATGGGGTGAGTAGTGGAAAAGCTTTATGACCTATTTTTATAATTTAACACAAATGCTTATATATAATACATAGCACACCGACGGCTGAGTGGAAGAACGACATATCTCGGCCGCCGGTTCGAAAACGCCTTATCTCAGAAAATGGCTCAAGAACACTCTATCTTAGAATTTGGTTGAGAAACGCCCATAGATGCATTGTGTTCACTTAGGGCTAGCTTTGTCTCCTCAAAGCATGTTTAATTGAGAAAATATAAGATTTTTACAATATCTCTGTAGGACAAATTTTTTAAGCGGTGTAGATCACATAAATTCGTCAATCCTAACTCTGACAAATCGTCGGAAAACTAATGGTGGAAACATCATCGTCTTAGTTCAGCTAAGGCTACAAAGTGGTAGAGCAAGTGTTCGACATTCTCGATTTCCTCTTCGCCCCTGGAACTGCGACAGCGGTGCTCGTTGAAAATTCAATTCTGCTTTCATATATCCCCATTGTGACATCCTGAGAAGCCTAAGTCGGAAGAAGGTCACCAGACCACTCATTAGGCAGTTTTTGCCATATGTGTCACTTTACAACTTAGTTCTTCATGTCGTGGAGTCTGAATATTTTGTGGCGAAATAACCTAGTAAGGGTACAGTAGAAGGAAACACATTAGCCTCTACCTAGAAAAACTACAACCAAGCGTAGTGAGCACTTTTCGGGTCTTCGTAACCGGGATTGCCCAAATTTATAGTGGGCCGAAGGCTGTCATTCAGCAGCATTTGAGTGAAAGCTCTTTGGGAATATTTCGGAGTACAGGGCTTCCGATAGGATCACCGCAATAGCCATTGATGTCTCTTTCGTCGTTCCTTACAGGGTTTGGAATTTAATCCTAAGAAAGAATCAAATGAGTATAAGCTTAAATCATATCTGCGACTCGTCTGAAGTGTGGTTCAGTTTAATTTTCTTTTACTTGTGCAGTGTGTGGCAATTTTTTAATATTCTGTGCTACTTTGCCCAGCAGCAGCCATTCACTTTATGATATTTAAATGCCTGCGACACATTTTCAACATCACGTCTTGAGTACTCGCCCTCGTACCGCAAAAATGTCGTCTACTCCAAAAGTATGTGTTCACACAAATACACGTACATATTTACTTGAAGCTTTCTGCAGTAAATCTTTAATCACTTTAAGCCAAAAAGCGCGTAAAAGCTAAAAGCACGCGGCAATGAGCTAAAGGAGGTGATGAGCCGGCAAACGAACGTGGGCATTAAATTGCCGCAAAAGAAAAGACGTTGGGATTTGCGCAAACTTTACGTGCAAAATGACAATGAAAAGCATAGACATGCGTTGGGTGGTACGAATAAGTGGGTGGGTTCAAGCAAAGCAAAGTAGCAAGAGAGTGCGAGGACGGAAGCTAAAAGTAGCGGCAAGGGCAAGCAGAGGTAGTAGAGAAACCAGGCTGAGCAAGCTGATGTGATGGCAGAAGACGTAGGTAAAATAAAAATTAAGTAGCAGAGAGACAAAGTAGATTACCAACTTGGACTGGGAAAGGGTTAAAAAAAATGGTCCCACTTTGCCTTCGACTTTTGTTGACGAAATGACGGCATATCGATGCAATTGGCGGTATTTTCATTAAACGTTGTTGTATTTCCAGCTTTTCTTTGAGTTCGATAACTATTTCCCGGCAGTGTATAAATTGTATTGCTTTTTTGTTCTTGCCCAGCGTACGCGGACAGCAGTCAAACGCTCTACCTTAGCTCATTTTTAAAAGTCTTTTCTTTCGCTGCCAGCTACAGCTGTCTTCTTCTTTCTCTTCTTAGCACAATTCCCTACAGACTTCTTTAATCCATTAGTTTACGAGCTTGTGCGACGTTAGCTCACTTTTTTTGTTCTCCACATTTTTCCCAGCCCTGCGCTTCTTGCATACCCGTCTTCCTTTGGCTCTGCATTCAAATGCGTTTGGCGCGCATTTTCGCTTTGGCAAAAGTTCTCCAAGCGTATAATGAATACTCAAATACTACAAGTAAAAAAAGAATGCTCTGTGCATACATATGTATATACATACCTACATACATACATACGAAGTTGCGAGTCATTGTATTGCCGTCAATATACATAGTACATAACCGTGCAAGGCCGCTTAAGCTTCCACTCCTTCTTCATTTCTCTAACTCTGCCCTTATCATCGTCATCATCATTCTTGGCTCATTGCTTTGCACATTTAAATTCACAAGCTTAATCCGCAACGCGTTTGTTAGTCGCAAACACACCGGCGCGTCGTGCACCAGCTTCAGTTTGAGTGTCGTATGCTTACCTTTTTTACTTCCTTCGCCCCTATTTCCATCGTTTAGTTTTGTGCACCTCTCTCTCCCCACTCTACCTCTAACATGCAGCATAATCGACATTGAAAATGTTTGTCGAACTTGAAAATTATTCGATTAAGTGCATTACCGGCGAGACATGGATCCGCAATCATAGCAAAAGCGTCCATTATATCTACACAAAGTTGTACATATAAATTTATGTAAGTACATAGCAAACAGAGGCAAGCAGACACATCACTACATGAGCCTAGGCAAATACAAATATTCACACAAACGCACTCGTATCCCGCATTCTACATACATACATACATATGTTTGTATGTGCATCCCGCCAGCAGCTGTTGAAGTTTTACGTAAATCGAAGCGCATTGAACGAAAACTACTTGTACTTAAGTATAAATATGCGGCAACTCCTTTCTTTCCTCACCTACCGCATGCCAAACTAAAGTAATCAAACCCGTTAGGTAAGCCAACTAAAGCTACCAGCAATTCGTATCGCATACTGTCACGAACTTGGCCGTAGTCAAGACTCACACCAACGCATTACGTGTGCCACAACCCAAGCAACTACTCCTTTTCGACGGGGTGTATGTTGCTCTCACTATCCTACAACTCCACGCACTCAGTATTGTTTCTCAGCAGTATTGCCATATGTGGATTTTTTTGATGGGCCGAAGGTTTAAATGAATTTTGAAAACGATAGATGATATCCTAGAGCTTTTCTGGTTTTTATATGAAAAAAATTAATATGGCTAATGGGCAAAGCAAAATTGAGAGAGCTTTTATTCTGACCCTTCATATAAAATGTATAGAATGCTTTAAAAAGCTTCTCCCGCGGAATATGATTTGGTCTATATAAATCCGTATAAAGTTCTGCAAAGTTTACTTATTCCATGACCGAGTGAGAGCTTTAATCACGTGCCCGTCTGTATCAAAATGTCCTAGTCTTATATAGTGTACATATGCTTGTCTATAAGAAACGAAAATAGCTTTTAATTTGCGCGTTCGTATACAGCTAATGCAAAGCTTTAAACAGCTTTTCCAGCGAATGTGTTTTGACTCTTACTGATCTATATACTTTAGTGTATATAAAGCTTAAAAGAGCTCAGCACATTTACAAACTTTAGGTCATCATTGTTTTATAGCAGCGATGGGCAGAGAGAGCTTTTACTCTGGATGCGCCTGTACTAAAGTATAGAAAGCTTAAAAGAGCTTTGCCCGCGGGCAAGGCGGTGCCCATCACCGGTTGGAGAATGTTTTGCGATACTTAAGTTATAGTAGAAAACGTTGCCTGTTTTTCTTTCAACTGGCAGCACTACTTCTCACTCCCACTCGCTGCAGTTTACAAATCGTTGCGCACACTAACGCACACCCCATCGCACCACTTCATTACTTCAGCCGCTTGCTTGCTTATGCGCCTAAGTGTATGCTATGCACTCCTACCATGACCACCTTTAAGGTAAACTCAATGAGTCTGTCAACCTGCAGCATAAGTACTACATAGCAAGCGAATGTGGTGCTATTGCATTAAGTATGTTTTTCTTAATGTTGTTTGTGTTGTTGTTTTTTGCCATGTTATTGCTTGTTTGCTTGCTCGTTTCAGTTTGAGTTTGAGTTACTTGTAATCCCTTGAGTTATGCAATGGTTTTAAAGTTGCTCTTCAATATACTCCTCTTACTTGTACCCTCCTATTTTGGCTCATAGTCTCGGCGCTTGTGTGTTCTCCTAACTATTATATGCCTTCTTACTTAGCACATTATTCCTGCTTAACGTTGGTTGAGCATACGAGTACTACGTAAGCATTGGAGTTGTCGATGTTTTGTGGCTGTTAGTGGCATGTTTTCTTGTATAAGTACTCCTTTTTTTTGGGTTGTTTTTGCTGAAGTTAGTATATTGGTGCTCGTTTACTGGGTATGAGGCTTACACGAATTTGCTCAAAACATGTGTTTGCATACTTTGTATAGTGAGTGTTGATGGCTAACAGGCAATTCAGATAAATACTTGAGATTAGATTGAAGCAAAAATAAGCAGGTAGTATAAACTTTTGACCATACAATATTAGAAAAATTGTTTAAGTTGATATAAGGTGTGTTAAAAAAGCGAAAAATTAACTTGAACCCAGATTTTTTATTACGGAGGCCATTTTAAATATGCAGATAAGAATTTTGATTTCCTGCCAGACATTATGGCAGTATAAGGGCTATATGACTACTGAAAAAAAAAATTTAACTCTAGGCGCATTTCACAGAATCCCTAGCGTTTTGATTAAGTAAGGCTGGAGAACTCACCAAGGCATATCAATTTTCCAGATCTAAAAGCTTCAATCTCAGTGTCTTATGTAGATTAGGGTGGTCCAAAAATAGATGGTAAAATAAATTTTTTTTTGAGCTTTCCTGCTGCCACCCGCGAAATTATAAAAAATGGAAAATAAGTATACCTGCATTTTTATTTTGAAACCGGTTAGTATTTAACCTTGCCGCCGCACAGTGGTATGAGCCTAAGTTCTAGCGCGCCAAAAGTCTGTTTCATATGTAATTTATATTTATATTTATGTTAGAGTAATTTCTGGATGGTGGGGGTGCACTTTTTCAGAACTCAAAAAAATTTATTTTCCATATATTTCGAAAACTTTTATACTTTTTTATACTTTAACCCCATGTTCTTATTCAGGAGAAAATCCCAAGTTAATTTGATTTGGAG